CTTAGGTCTTGTATTGTCAATTCATAGGAAGATCACCCACCTAACCTTGCCCATTCCTATCCTGGTGTGAAGTAACTACGACCCTTCCGGGTCGTTGCCTGTTCTCTATGATTGAACGTGATGAACGACTATTCTGACTAGAATCTTGATACTGTACTGTATTAATTGTATCCCTGCTGTACAAACACCCTCCCGTATCACGCCCTGATGCATATTTGGCGGCCCGTATGCCACCGTCCATGCCCATAGTGTGTCCTCGCTTGCCGTTTAAATTGCTTAATTTCTGTGTAAATTGTGTACTACTGGACGGGAAATGCTGCTTCTGATCATTGCATTATGCGCGATGCTGGGTGCATTCTCCCCTGCCACGGGAATGCCGTACCAGCGCTTGTTTAGAGATCGAAAGCCGATGCTGCCTGTTTTCGCCGGACGAGTCCCACTCCTACACCGACAGACCTCGACGCACCCGTACAAACGACTCACACCGAGGGTGACATGATCTATTATGACCTTGGCCTGGGTACCGCTCGCGAATAAATAGTAAATGAGTCTGACACTGTCATAAACAAGACAGCGTTTTCCTTGGAAGCCCAATTCAACGCCGGAGCCACTGGCGGCCTCACATGACAAGTCTCTGCCTCCGTGGTGCAATGCGTGCTGGCGGGAGGGTGAAGGCAATGTGCTTGGCGTCGACGCAAGAGTGCAAGTAGCTGGGAAAGCATGAGGAAGGTCAGGATCTATACAAGCAGACGGCTGTGAAGGGACTGGAAGGGACGGGAAGGAGCGTAAAGGGACAACAGGTCAGCATATATCTCGGTCGATCAGAAGACACATCGAAGTAGTATGTGCTCGTGCATGGCTGACCAGACCTGGGGGGTATGAGAAATGACGGGCAGCCACTCGGAAACGCGCGGCAAAATGATCTATGATTGACCCTATTTATGGCTTGGACGCCTGCCGCCTTTGTGGCGAAGGCTATCATTTGGTCCGCTTCCTCTTCCTCGCCTTGCCCTCGTCGCTTTTGGTTTCCACAGCACCTCCCGCCTTTCCATCAGGGACTTGTTCCCTCCCCTCGTCACTGCAGTGATTGCAGTGATTATGACTGCACTGGCTGCGAGACGAACCATCACGTCCCGCTTGCGCTCCCGTCCCTTGTGTCAGGCGCTCTGCGCGGGCCTTGTTTTCGGCTTGGAGCTCGCGAAGTTGCTGCCCCAAAGCCCTGTTCTGGCCAATGAGCTCGGCCAGCGTGGCACCAATCTCCCCGTCGAACAGGCCGCTGGCGATGTCTAGAGCTTAGGCGGAGGTGAGAGTGAGAGTGAGGGTGTGATGACCCT